CCCTTCAATTAATATATTATTTGTTTCCATTTTGAATTGACTCCATCAATTTCTGAAAAACATAGAAAACACACCATGATTGAAAAAAAAAAAAAAAACCACAGCATAATATAAAAGAAATCAACAAAAAATGATTTGATAATCAAAGTTGCACAATTTGATTGAGCACAACAAGGATAATGAGAAAATAATGTTATACAAGTAACTACGGGATTCTGGAAGGGTTGCTGAGCTTGCTTCCAAACACAGTAGACAAAACTCGGTTTCCACCACAGGCACTGCGTTACCATTATGAAGGCAGAATCAACAAGCTAGTGATCCCAACTGAACTTTTAAAGGCAACCATCATACCAGCAGCAAAATTAACCTGCTTATCTCCAGTTTGATGCACTTCAAAGAAGCTCCAATTTTGATCAACATGTTTAAAATGCCTTGTAGAAATACACTTCCGACAGACATCCACATCTTTTGGCCACAAGATCTTTTTAGTGTTGTTCTTGGCACAACCAGTGCTGGTCAAGAGTTTCATTGAGACCAAGTGCTTCAATGCTCAAATGCAACATTATGCTAAAACTCACCTCAGCATCAAATGATAATAGATGAAATTTTTTGCTCTTTCAAAACATGCTGCCTTTTCCCAACTCCTAGTTGATCCAAGAAGCAAACAATCAAGTTTGATTTCACTTTACCTGGGATGTTATCAAGGGGAAGTTTTTGAAATTTGTAATGACTATGACTTGTGACAAACTACAGCTGTGCAAGAGGAATCCTCATCTATGTTCCATAGGCTTGACCCTTGAAGCTGCTTATGAATTACATCCATACTCAAGTCTTTGGGCCAATAAACCAACCTCTTACTGACATCCAAGGAGGATTGATTGAAATCCTGGTCACCAATTTTCATGCCAAAGCTTTTCTCATTAAGCCTCTTCACTCTAAAACCCTTATGTTCCAGTAGCGTTGTCATCATATATGCGAAACTTTTGCTCTCTTTTGAGTGCAGAACCTTATTCACCAAAGCTGGGACATCATTGAGAAAAGTATCAGTCCAGATTTTGTGAGCAGAAGGCGAACTCTTAACGTAGTAAAGTTCTAAGCTCTCTCCTGTGTAAAAGTCATATGCGGAATCAATGGACTCGAGAAACAGATTGGTATTGAGGAAAAGCATGTTTCCATCTATCACCCATGTATTGTAACTACATTCTAAACTCTTTTTTATTGCATAAGCCTTCACCAAGACATCCTCAATCAGCATTGCATTTGACTCTTGAAATCCAAGTGATCTGTACACTCCAAAAGTGGTGACAAATTGGTCTGCATCAAGTACAGGATGTCCCCTTCTAGCCAGATCAAATAGGAAGTCAGAACGAGGTCCCATAAGAATGTAATTCTGAATATTTAGCCTCTCAAAGTGGCAGAGCAGGTTTCTTGTAATCATCTCTGATGCTCCAAATAGGCTCACAAGCAGAATGGTTTGCTCTCTCTGTACAGAGTGAAGAACAGCCCCAAGATCATCCAAGTTCATTACAACTCTACCAGGCAGCACTTCTCTGAAACAGAAATCATACCACTTCATTTTACTCAAGGGTTGCATGTTGATAAGATTGGAAAGAAGCGAATTTTCATCTAGTAGTTGAGAGTCAGGCCCTGCTGTTTTGCCATAGTTAACCCCAGCATCCCTGTGAGAGACACTAAGTGCTCTCTCATGTTCAAAATTTGTGTAGATATTAAAATAGCCACGAGAGTGGATAAACTTAATGAACCATGGAGTCCAGATTCTTTCTCCCATCCTTTTGTACCACCCCGTGGTAACCTAAATATGGGTTTTATATTCTTATTAGATTTCAAAAACAAACACCAAATAATAAAAGAGAAAACCGAAAAAAAAAAAGGGGGTTAACTTACCATCCCCTCAAGCAAGGGTTTGATCCCTTTGGCCTTGTGTTGATCATACCACAATCGAAATTCTTTCCAAGGTTTAGGAAAGAGCAGCTGACCCCAAGTGCCAACTAGCTGGTACAAGAAAAGTTGCGTGCCACCATCCAGTTGTAATTTGTTTCCATGTTTTCCTATAGTTTAAAGCAAATAAACAAAGGAAAAAGAATGCAATGCCTATCAGTAGCTGGTTTTAAACAGACATCAACTCCAAGAACCTCTGCTAATAATGTTGCTGATGGAATTAAAGCTCGAAAATGACTTTTGAAGTAAGAATATGGTACCTGGAACAAACCTTGGCCGCTGCAGCGTGGCTCCATAAATATGCGGACTTGAATTGGAAGCATTATTGTAGTAATTAAGAATCAAACTCCTCAAAAACTTGTAGTAGAGAGGGGAAAGCTCCAAATCATCCTCCACAACAAACGCAAACTCATTATCCGAGGTAGGCCACCAGGCCTCCAGCCACTGCGCCTGCAACCCGGCGTTGGTCGTCCTGTAATGGACCATCTTCTGCCCCCATTTCCACTCGAACCCATCAACGAACCCCAAAATCTTGTGGGACTCCCGTAGTTTCTGGTCCATATTGGAATCGTTAGAGGGTACAAAATGGTCAATGAAGACGTGGAGGTGGACAGGATTGCCGGGGAGGTATTGGGCCCTGGCAAGGGAGCGAAGGCAGCGAGAGAGAGCGTGGAGGCGATTGAAAGTAAGCACCTTGATAGTGAGAGTGAAGGAGTCGGAGGTGGTAGAAACATGGTGGGGAAATTGAGTAGTGGTTTCGGAAGAGATGGGGGAGAGGAGAGAAGAGTGGTGGTAGGAGTAGAGGAGGAGGACGCAGAGGGAGAGGATGAACAGGAAAAGAAAGTGCCTCTTCGGAGGGCCGACCATTTTTCTTTTGGCTGGTTAGGGTTCCGATCTCGGAATCAATACAGAAATTTGCAGAGGAGACGCCATAGATCTCAAGATTTCTCTTTGGCAAAACCATAAGTTAAGCCCCTGAACCAACCCCAGAATCGCTATTAAGCCCCTATACTCTAATTGATGCATATAAGCCCCTGAACTCTACAATCCGAGCAATTTTGCCCCTACTCTCATAATCAACTTAACTGCTGTTAACTGCCGTTCAAGGACTGCGTCGTGTGGCGAAATGTGGCTGTTTCATGCCTACGTGGCAAGCGATTTTGCATCTAGTTTGCCCACCTTGATGCAAAAAAAAAAAAAAAGAAAAAAAGGAAAAATAATGCAGGAATAATTTTTTATATTATTTTTTTTATAACTTTATATATTATTTAAGTAATTAACTTTTTCTATTTATGAGTTTATCTAACATATACTCTAAAGACACAAGTTAAAAATATAATAAATATATTTTTAATAAATTTGTGTTAAAAAAATAAA